CTTCTGGCTCCCAGAAACTCTACACACCAGAGGCACACTGACATACATTGTTTTTAACTAAATCTCAATCTTACAATTTTACAAATAAGGACTCAGGAGCCAGACACTGGGGTGAAGACCTGATAGCTCAGAGAGATGGAGAAAGCATGCAGATGCTTCCTCCTCATTGCCATCCAGCAAAGAAGGAGCTATTCTCCTACGCTGTCCCACACAAAATTTCTCCAACCAGCTGTCCCTCTCTTTTCCTTCCTATGCATCTCTCTATCCATCTGCCTGATTCCTCCTAACTATCTGTAGTTTATTTCTTTCTGTCAACTCATTATTTGCTCTCCCTCTTGACCTGTGGTTGATTTAACTTTGTCCTTTTTACAATAAGCAGAAAGCTCTTGATTAAACGTGTGTACTAGGACTGAGCCAAATTACAACTAGAAACAGGGTTTTCCAATAAATAACACAATCTCAGGGTTTACATTGTGATCAAATATCCTGCAACAGACACACATGAAGATAAAACAACACAATAAAAAAAAAAAACACCTCAGAATAGATTTACCATATGACATAGGTATAAAACTGATAGGCATATATGCAGAGAACTATGTCATACTATAGAGATACTTGCATATCCATGTTCATTGGAGCTCCATTGACAATACCTATGAAATAGAATCAACTTAGTCACCCATCAACACATGGATGGATAACGAAAATCTAGTATTAATTACTTTGCTGTAAAAATATGAAATCATGATATTTTCAGGAAAAGGGTGGTACTAAAAAAAAATTCTACTGAGTGGGATCACCCTTGGCCAAAAAGAGAAATACTAAATGGCCTTATCTCATATGAGGTTCCTAGTTTCAAATCTTCTGTTTATGTGTAGTTTTAACATTGAGTACATGTAAAAGATAAGGAGCTAGAAACACACTATGGATTGGGAGGGAGTATGAGGGGGTGAATATAGGTAAAATCAAAGTAGAGAGGGGAATACTAGAGACAGAGGTTCCAAATAGGTAATGGAGAGACAGAGATGGGAAAAGAGATGCCAGAAGAAGGCTTAAACAAGATGAAGTGTACATGAAGAAGTTACTTGGGAACTTATGACATTGCACTACAAGATAAACACATATGCATATAGTAAGTGGGGATAGTAGTCCATATGTGACATTAATGAACACTGGGAAAATATCGGAAGCTGAAGGTTTAAACAGGGATGAGGACAGAGTGTAGAGGAAAGGAGGGTAAGGAAGTGGGTTAAAGGAAGCTAAACATATATTTAAAAACCCTTATGAAACACCTGTAGCTTGTAAGCTATTTAAGAATACTTTTCTGGGGGGAGTGATAGAGCATCACTACGAAGCCCTGGATGTCCTGGAACTTTCCTCATAGACCAGGTCTTGTACTCAGTATATAGACCAGTCTAGCCACAAACTCACAAAGCTCTGAACAAGCAGATATTCAGAGCAGATATTGAGACCATTATTGAAGGGATGCAAAATATTAGGAGTTGCTGATCACAATGGCTCATGGTTGAAATCCCAGCACTTGTACAACTGATGAGTAAAGAAATGAGGAACTATTAGTGAAGAATAGTTAATGAAGAAGTTGCTCCCAGAAGCCATGAGTGACTTCTGGGAGTGTCAGTGTCAGGCACAGATACTTGGTCAGAAAGGGTCCCAAGGCACACAAAACAATATAAGCTATTGTTACTGCTGCTGGTTGCCCACAAAAATTAGATCACACACTACTGCTAAAGACATCAGACACTTTGTTTATAAAACACAGGAAAATCAATCATAAACTGACTTGTCGCAGGTGCATATCGTTCTTAGTGCTGAAAGGTACTATGAAAACTGGTGGGGAAGAAAAGGCATCAGTGGTTTATCCGGTGCTGGATATTGGATGCTACAATACTGATGTGCCTACTAGAAAGACTAATTATGGAACTAATCAACTGCTGTCATGAGACTGCAGACTTGCTCCACAAGAGAGAAATCATGCCTGGTACTTTCGCAGAGTCAAAACTCACGGCAAGGGAAGTCATAGGTCCTCAGGGAGAACCTACTAATGGTGTGTTTCTAAGTGCTCCTGTTGACACACTGCATTCTAAATATTTGCGTTTCTATCCATGGGTTTCTATTGTCACCAACCTGGATCAGACACGCTTATTTTAGCAGTGGTAGTTTATACAGAGAAGATTACTATTTAAATTATGAAAATATGCAACTGTGACTACTGAACTATCATAGATGGGACATTTTTATCAAACCCATAACCCTCAAAGCTCAGGAAACATTGCAACAGGCGGCTGAAATGAGAGTGTAAGAGCTGGAGGATGGGGAGTACTGTGAAAGGCTGTGCTCTGTGCATGGCATAAATTCACAACTGCTGTGGTTTCACTCATAAGATCTGCATGTGATCCTGGTAGTGAAAAATTCCAGCAATGGACTGAGGTGTGCTTTGAGGCCTTAGCCCTTACTGAGATCCTAGTTTTAGCTGATGCTTCTAAGGGAAGTAGTCTCTTTTCTTTAGGAATGTAGCCATGTGTAGGGTATCCTTACTGCTGTGTATGACCCCATGCACACTGTAAATAAGGGCTTCACTAATTAGACCCAGTGGGGTAGAAGTAAATTATTAAAAAAAAAAAAAAAAGGAACTGTGTTAATACTTGGGTTTATCTACCACTAGCTTAATCTATGTTATTCTGAAAATAGTTCCTCATTTCTTTACTCATCGGTCACACAAGTGCTGGGATTTCAACCATGAGCCATTATGATCAGCAACACCTACTATTTTGCATCCCTTCAATAATGGACTCTTGACTGTTACACACCTTCTCTAATACGGAGTTCTTTTTCCTATAGAGGAAATAAAATTGGGTCTCATATTCTAACATTCTGTCACTGTCCTCTAACCACTGTACACAAACACACACACACACACACACACACACACACACACACACACACACACACACACACGCAGAAGTAACTGACATTTAAATAGAAAATTGACAAACAAAATGACAGTTTGTATACTACTTTGGGTAACACTTTTGTTGTAATAAACCAGGTTTTGCTTAATTTTCTTTCCTTAAGAGTTATTTTAATTACAGTAATTTTAATTCCAGGAGAGGAACGGAATGTCTGCTAAGACAGCCTGTCTCCCTTGTGCAAATAACTTCAGGAAGAAGAGACTACATATCAAAACACAGCCCAGGAAGCTGCATCAACTTCCTCAGTCCCAAGCCCCTTCCAGCACTCTGAAAAGAGCCCCAGGCAGCTTGTGCCCACTGCACAGCAGGAAAAAAAATCACTGTATTTTGCTGTCTGTGCTAATAACCAGGGTTGTCTATTGAGGTCACATTCTCGACTGTTTCCAGTCTTTTGTCTCCTCATTCTGCACCCCAAAGTATAACACTATTGAAAATATTAGTGTTTTTAATCTCTAAAGAACTTCATCTGGAAAAAAAAACAAAACAAACCTATTAAGTACTGAGTAAGTACTCCCCTCATGCAATTTCCTCTACTTAGAGAAGCAACCTAGAGTAAACCAAGCAAACAAGAATGCATTCTGAAGTCCACAGTCCCCTTCACGGGGATCACAAGGACAGTGCTGACACAGCTTTCAACCCCCCAACTTAAACACCAGAAATGTTCAGGGCAAGAAAGTTGAAACATTTTCAAGAACACTTGAAAGTTCTCTTCCTCTGTGACTGGGAATTTGACCCACTCTTACAGGGAGAGCAACCCAATCCTCTCTTATCACGATTTAAAAAAAGAAAAACCAAATACACACACAGACACACATGCACAGATAATCAGGAGTTGGGAAACAGGGGATAACGATAAAGCCTTTGTTTTGTTTTGTTTTGGTTGGTTGGTTTGTTTTTTTTGGGGGGGGGTGGTTGAGACAGGGTTTCTCTGTGCAGCTTTGGAGCCTGTCCTGGAACTCACTCTGTAGACCAGGCTGGCTTCAAACTCACAGAGATCCACCCACCTCTGCCTCCGAGTGCTGGGATTAAAGGTGTGCACCACCGCCCGGCTGACAAGGCCTTTGTTTAACTTCAGTCAGGACTGCCTTGGGGTTCATTCCCAGTACTAAGTATAAAATCACAAAGATGATGACAGGAAAAATCTAAAGCAGCACAGACATACTTATAAGGGACACCAGACAGGAATCCACCCAGATCCCTTCACACCACAAACTAATCTCAGTGTCACCAACCTGGGAGGTCTGCAAGTTCTGAGGAAGCACAGATTCCAGGTGCTTTTTCACCACAGCAAGAGAGTGGCCTGAGCCACAGTCGTTTCCCTGGACAGCACAGGGCAGGAGGCCTCATGCACAACAGCTGCCAGCTTTGTGCACAATCCCAGTGCTTTGGGAAGCATGAAGCCAGTGCAGGACACCGGGGCACATGCACACGTCACAGCAGTAGCTCCACAGCCTTAGCACTGTCATGTTGTTCAAATCTTAGATGGTCTTTTAATTAAAAAAAAAAAAAACAAAACCCAGAGCCAGAGCCAGATATCAGGGTAAAAGCTGAAAGATCAGAGAAGCAGAACAGCCAGACACTAGTTCTTACCTCTACAAAATCCTCAGCCCAAAGAGAGTTCCTGTTTCCTCACGTCTTAAATACGTTTCTCTGCCCTGCCATATTACTCCCTGGGATTAAAGGCATGTGTGCTTCCCAAGCAAAGGCATGAGATCTCAAGTGCTGAGACTGAAGGTGTGTGCCACCACTGCCTGGCTCTGTTTCTCTCCTATACTGGATCAATCTCATGTAGCCCAGTGTGGCCTTGAACTAACAGAGATCCAGACGGATCTTTGACTCCCAAGTGATAGGATTAAAGATGTGTGCCACCATTGCCTGACTTCTATGTCTAATCTAGTGGCTGGCTCTGTCCTCTGATCCTCAGGCAAGTTTGTAAGGGTACACAATTTATCACCACACTGTCACAAATGCACAAAGCACAATTCCAGAAGTACAGGGCACACTCACCGTTTCCTGCTTCTGATGGATCAAGGTGTCCTTCCTATGGACCTAAAATCAGCAGAAGGGAATGTCATCCAGGACCAACAACACTTGCCTCAGCATGTACACACAATTCAAACTTGGTGGCACGAATATCCATGTACTCAGTGGACATTTGATGAAGGGAAGTAACAGCATCCCTGATTGAGGAAGAGACAGAAGGCCTGGATATTCCTGACTGGAGATCCTGAGGCCAAAACCAAGACAGTTGGGGTAGAAGGAATCCCTAAGTCTGTCCAGACACGGAACAGAAGGGGGCCTGCTGTGAAAACACAAGAGTTTGGAATGATGTAAAGACATTGGAGGCTTTTTCACACCTTATGTTTCAACCCATCCATTTTCTAAAGTTTTTTAATTAAAATATTATTTAGCAGTTCTCTAATACTTGCCTAACCTTGACAGTGAATTATCTTAAATAAACTTGACTTCAATTTTTTAATTAAAAATATGACATTTTTAGTGGCTCTATGAGCAATTATTTTGGTGAAACATATATTTGGGACATATTTTAAGCCTACTAATTACTTAAAGGAGTCTGAAATCGCAGGTCTAAGATATTTTCTCAATCTTTACATTTTTAAGAATGGAAGAACCTAAATTGTCATCTCCAAGATGAGGGCATTGTTCATGATAATGAAATTGTACCCTTGTATAGAAGATGCTGTGTCCTGAGAGCAACAGGGACATTTTAGACTTCTTATAGACTCAGAGCTGAGATGATGATTAACCCAAAAACATACTGAGTAATATTTTATCTAACTTATAAAAAGAAGCTTTAATTACACTATGAACTAAAACGAATTTAGGCCAATCTGGATATTTATATTAATACCACTTAACGATAAGCCAAAAAGTACGGTGGAACCAATAAGAAAACAGAAGCACATGTAAACAATACATATTTGCATAAGTAAAATGAAGATCATTTTAAAAACAAAGACACTGTATCAGTTTTCCATTTTAAATTAGGCTGTTGATTAGATCTTAGATATTTCACTAGCATTAGAAATCCTGAATCTAAAGGCTATCCTTTTGAAAATATGATTGTAATCTAAGTAGAAATCCTGGGATGTAAAAGACACGAAGCCTAACCTGACTACTGGGAAGTCTTTGAGCAGGCTGAACAGATACTTTTCTCTTTTAGTTTAACTGGACAAGAACAGAACTTGGAAAAATCTGTCATTAAAGAGGAGAGCATGGATAGAAGGGCCATAAGTCTTACTCTTTAATGTTACAGGTTAAAATTTATCTTAGAAATATTAATTATTGTTAGTTTAATACTTAAGAGCATAGACAATTTTATTCAGCTGGAAGCACCTGATTTCTTATTGACTTAATCAATCTGTTACATAATAATAATTGTCTATATTAAACTTGAACATTGTCGTTTCATAGAAAATCAATGGACAAAGACACAAGGTATAAAGAGAGCTCTTGCCGGGCGGTGGTGGCGCACGCCTTTAATCCCAGCACTCGGGAGGCAGAGCCAGGCGGATCTCTGTGAGTTCGAGGCCAGCCTGGGCTACCAAGTGAGTTCCAGGAAAAGGCGCAAAGCTACACAGAGAAACCCTGTCTCGAAAAACCAAAAAAAAAATAAATAAATAAAGAGTGCTCTTACTGAGATTAACTCAATTTCACCAAAAATATTCTACAATTCATGTATCAAATTCTAAAATTCCCCAAACACTTTAGATCTTGTCAGTCTAAAAATTTGGGCAGAATGGGATTGGTCTTCAAGAAGGCCATCCCTTGTTAAGAAGGTATGGGCAACTGATAGCTTTGAGGGGAATGGAAAGTTATCTTTCCTCAGGAATGTGGCCACTAGTAGGTTGCCCATGCCCTGTGGATGGCCACACATTTGGACAGCACTAACTGAACTCAGGGTTATAAGAAAGAAAGAAAAAGGAAAAAGAGAATGAAAGAAGGGGGCAGAAAGAAAGAAAAACAAAACAACAAAACCAAAAGACAGGAAGTTAAGAACTAGGTATGCTGGGAGTGTAAGGGCTATATATGATTAATATACATCACTCAAATGTAAGAAATTCCCTAGTAAAAATAATTTAAAAGTTTTGTTGGGCTTTTTATTAACAAACCAATGTCCATAGAGCTAGGGCACAGGTAAGCAGTTGAAAATCTTGCCCCGCAAGCCTGAAGAGCTTAAACCCTATTGAGGACGTGCAGAAAAATGAATACTTACTCACCGTTGGTGAGTTTAAACTGCTGGGATTAATAAGCAAATCAATGTGTGCTTCCCTCAAAAGTAAAAAATAGAAACATTATTTCATCAAGGTATAAATTTCTCTGACTATAATGAAAACACTTTATACACTACAACAGATACATGCACACACATGGTCATTGCTGCTCTCATCCAATAGCTAGAAAAAGAGTCAGCCTGGATCTCCATCAGCTGATGTCCACATGATGGAGATGCAGCACATAAACACAATGATTTCCACTCAGCAATGAAGAAAACTGAAATGAAATTTCCAGCAAATGGGTGTAAGTGAAAACGTCATTACATTGAGTCAAGTAACCAAAGCCCACAAAGTCAGGCATGGTGTTGCAAGACTTTAATCCAGAATGCATGAGGCAGAGGATGGTGATCTCTGAGTTCAAGGTTAGCCTGGTCAACACAAGGAGATCAGGGGCTACAGAGTGAAACTCTATTCCAAAAAATAAATAAATAAATAAATAATAACGTATTTAATACAAATTAAAAATTAAATGAAAATCAAAATAACTGTACACAGAAACATAATAAATATATTATAAATTTAGTTCACATTCAAGTCAACATTCAAATAAAGAACATTTTCTCCACCAGGTAGAAAGCACACTTGTCTTTCTCTCATGAACACTCTGAAGCTTCCCAAATGGTCAGAAATTACACTACCTACATAAACCAACTATCTAGAGACCAAAGGAAAGAGGTGGAATATTAATATTTTCCCAGAGACTGAAACACTGTAAATTACTTGCTACATAATTGACACTCCCAATCTCTTCTATTTAAAGCAGCCTACGGCCAAACAAGAAGCAGCAACAGAAATATAACACCAATGCCATGAAGCTCTTTGCCAGTTTTTTTTTTTTGGTTGGGTTTTTTGTTTTGTTTTGTGTGTGTGTGTGTGTGTGTGTGTGTGTGTGTGTGTGTGTGTGTTTGTTTTCTTGGCCTTTTCTGCAAAGTTGGGGAAACTTTTCAAAATTCCAATATTGGACTCAAGAAAGATCACTGCAAACAAAAAAAAATGAAGCAACTTGAAATATCTTTCTTCCGACTAGTAATTCTGGCCAGCTGCAGTCAGGAGAGCAATTTAAAATTCTCACACATTATCATTTTTTTTTAAGGAAAAATGCAAACACCACAGAGAATAAGGAGTTAAAGGGTAGACAGGCAGCTTTGTGAGAAATTTCTCTGACACCAGGAGGCATGGGAAACAATCTGAGGGGGACCAGATGGGAACGGAAAGAAAACCAAGACAGTAACAGAAAAAGCAAAATCAACGCAAACAGACGTACGAGAGGAGAAGGGAACTGCACAGACCACCCACGTCCCTTGATAGTAGTACAGTCTGGACTGAGCATCTCCAACCCGCCAGCGCTGTAAGGTCTGTGTAGGCGCAGGTTCGTGGATAGGACTCACCCAAGAGTGCTGGGGAACTGTGGGGAAGCAACTTCACTAGGACAGAACAGTGGGGGACTCGGGGCTCAAGGCTGCCTGTGAGGTGCACACTTCAAGCACAGGTGGGCACAGGCATTGCTGGGCTGGTCTCCACCTTCCATTGGGCTGCACAGCACCAGGGAAACTGCAGCAGCTAGTGTCCCAAACCCGCCACCCAGGATTCCAGGAGCCCAATGCTCACTCACCATTTCGTGCTTCTGATGTATCTAGCTGTGCTCCCAAAGATGCCCGCACTCGGCAGAGCACGAAGTCGCCAAGCCATGTCCTTACAACAACACTTTCTGCTAAGTAAAACTTAAAAAAAAGAAAAGAAAAGACAATGGAAGCACACTATGACTATCCGTGCTCCTGATTGGACAGCTCTTTCCTTTTAGTAATATCGTCCCTGATTGGCGAACTCTATTCACGCCGCACCCTCAGCCCAATGTATCTAAACCTTTTAGGAAAGATCAGGCGAAAGCCTTACTGCCAGCACTCTTGAGGAAGGCAGACTTCTGTGAATTCAGAGGTATTAAGGAATACATAGTGAGACACTCTACGTATCAAACCAAACAAATATGCCAGACACGGTGGCAGGCTCCACACCCCCACCTTCAGACAGGGTTTCTCTGTGTAGCCCTGGCTGTCCTGGAATTAGCTTTGTAGACCAGCACCAGGGGAACTGCAGGAGCTGGCACCACATAGCTCCAAAGCAGCTAGTGTCCCAAACCGGCCACCCAGGATTCCAGGAGCCCAATGCTCACTCACCATTTCGTGCTTCTGAGGTGTCCAGTTGTCCTCCCAAAGATGTTTGCAAAGCCATGTCCTTACAACAACACTTTCTGCTAAGTAAAACTTTAAAAAAAAAAAAATTGATAATGGAAGCACACTATGACTATGGAAGGTCTACCCTCGAACTCACAAAGATACTCCTGCCTTTGCCTCCGGCTGCTGGTATAAAGGCGTGCAGCCCCACGCCCTGCTAGTGGTAGGCATTTTTAATCCCTGCACTGCAGAGGCAGCAGCAAGAAGATCACTAAATGGGAGGCTCACTTGGTACAGAGAACTAGTTCCAGAACATACTACCCAACAAACCCTGTCTAGAAAAAACAAAACAAACAAACACATATACAAACAAATAAGCAAAACAGCAAACATAAATAAAGAAAAATATATCAACATTTAATCCTTGCACTCTGACATAAACCTATTCTATTTGGGGATTTCAGGAGAATTTACTCTAGTGAATGGAGGCTTTCTTTATGACCTTGGACAAGAAAACCTTTTTGTAAAATCAAGGGTTCCTTTTCCTAACTCTGAATCTTTAGTGGCGTGCTCATGGCATGCACGTCTATTTTATCTATCCATTAAGTAATTATATTCACTTGTTGGTGTGCTTTAATTATATTGACAGAAAATGGATATACTGAAACACAAAGTGTGAGGCAGTCATGGACTTTTGACTCATCCCTAATCTATGAGGTTTCCTATGCTGCCTTATGTGTGATTTCCGTGCTTGAATCTACTGGAGCCCTGTTCTTACCCTGAAGTCCTGGTTTTTCCTTTGGAGCAAGAAATTAGAATGTATTGAGCAAATTTAAGTCTCTGACTTTATGGGGAAAACAGGTGGAAATACTGAGTATGCGAAGAAGTGAGTGACTGCACCCCGAATCCCAGAGCATGTTTCTATCATGCAGTGTAAACATTGTGACAAAACCTTTGCCACTTTGAGTTCTCGTGACACTCATGAAAGAATTCACACTCGAGAGAAACCTTATGCTTGTAAGCATTGTGGGAAAACTTTCACCAGCTCCAGTTGGCGTAACATTCATGAAAGGTGTCACACTGGAGAGAAGCCTTATGCGTGTAAGCACTGTGGGAAAACTTTCTTCGGCTCCAGTTCTCAAAAGTCTCATGAAAGAATTCACACTGAAGAGAAACTCTTCGTTTGTAAAACATGTGGGAAAGTGTTTCTTCTTTCTCATTATCTTATCACCCATGAAAGAACTCACACTGGAGAGAAGCCTTATGCATGTAAGCACTGTGGCAAAACCTTTGCCATTTTGAGTTCCTGTCACACCCATGAAAGAATTCACACTGGAGAGAAGCCTTACACATGTAAACATTGTGGAAAAGCCTTCACCCAATCCAGTTATTGTAACATTCATGAAAGGAGTCACACTGGTGAGAAACCTTATGCATGTAAGCATTGTGGAAAAACTTTCACCACTTCCAGTTGGCGTGACAATCATAAAAAGCATCACACGAGACAATAGGCTAATGGATGTAAGAATTGTGGGAAAGCCCTCATAAGTTCAACTTGCTACAAGAGCCATAAAAGGATTCACACTGGAGAGAAACATGTGGAAAACTGTTCCTTTGCTCTCACTTTATTAAGCATAAAAGATCTCACATTGGAAAGGAACTTTACCAATCTCAGCCTTGTGAAAGAGCCTTCATTACCCCAAGTTCATGTGGCATTCAGGAAACAACTCACACTGGAAATAAGCCTCATGCATGTAAGCACTGTGAAAAAGCCCACCCCAGTTCCAGTTGCTGTAATATTCATGAAGGATGGAGAGATGCCATAATCTGTAACCATGTGGAAAAGACTTTCACAGTCATAGTTCCTATTACACTCATAAAAAAATTTCACAGTGGTGGAAAACTTTGTTTGGAATAAATGTGGGAAATAATTCATAGTGTTTAGAAGCATTTTCCATGCAACCAGAGTGTGCCTGCATTTCTGTGTTTTACATCCCTACACAAATCCATAGGATCTCACAGTGAAAAAGAAGTACAGTGGGTAGAACTTGTACCAGGGTAAGTATGTGACACTGCATTTGGTCAATTTGCCTCCATTGCAGGGTTGAAAGGAGGATGTGGTTAGATCGTGAGGTCCATCAGTTAGTAATGGTTCTTGTTCAAAACCTGACCATCTCAATTACCTCCCTAGGTCTTATACTGTGGAAATAGAGAATTCCTGAAAGTTGTGTTCTGACAATCACATGCACACTTCCCAATGAACAAATACACAGAGACATACAAATGAATAATTAAATAAAATGTTCAAAACAATGGAAACAGAAACTAACAAATACATTTTTAGTGTAGAAAGAAACATTATGAGACAGTAAAAGTGTAGTTCTTAACTCTCAATGTGTTACTCTCTGTAGGATAAAAACCACTTGCAGGGTGTGCAATAATACTTGTCTTTTGCCCCCTATGGCATTGACAGTACATTTGAATACGACTATACTAGTGGTCTGAGTGATAATGGACCAATAGTCTCCTAAGTTGGACTATTTGGTTTCCAATTGATGGAATTGTTTGAGAATGAATAGGAGGTGTGGCCTGTTGGAGAATATCTGTCATTCTAGGCAAGTTTTAAGCTGACACAAAAGACAGTGGCACTCCCAGTGTGTTCTCTCTGCCTCTTTATTATGGATTTTTATGGGAGCTCTGAGATATTGCTACCACCATGTTTTGCTCCGCCATCAGAGACTCTTAACACTCTATAACTGCAAGCCAGATGTAACACTACCTTTTAAAGGTTACTTTAGTAGTTGTGATTAGTCACAGCTATAGAAATACCACCTGCTTTGGACTTTAAGAAGATTCAAATCCAGTCAAAAGAAATTTTCATTGCACAATTGTGAAAAACTTAGTGTCATTTTAAATGAGATAAAAATTGTGAAACTTTTTGCATGTACTTGAATCTCATATAAGAAATAAATACTTTCTGGAAGTTATTCCAGAATATTTTAGAAATGAACAGTTTGAAAAAAGTACAGTCAAATTCTGAGCATTTTTGTTATTGACCCATTCCTACACAGGAGATTTACTTTGCATTATGTTTTTATTAAGAAGGCAAGGTATGGTTTCTGTAGTTACTTCAGGTTATCTTTTCACATCTGAAGATTTGGAGCTAGAAACCACAAATGAAAGAAAAAAGAGATTTATCTTTCTGAGATGAGTTAACTTGTTTTCTAGTTGATTCCATCTACCAAACCATTTTCTGGTTTAAGATTTCTTTGTGCCTAGATCGTATTCTCTTGGTAAGTAGGGAAGAGGGTGTAGAGGGGAGTAGCTGGATGTGAGGGCTATGAGGGGGAAAATATGAAAACTGTGGAGAAGGAGATTTCTAACTAGACATGAGATGAGAAAGGTCAATACAGTAAAGAGAAGAGGAACAAATACCAATACTCTTTGATAATCCTCAAGGAGTTGTTATTTTGTTCATGCCTAAAGTTATATAATGCATAAAAGTATGACTATGAGATTATGCACACACACATTCATTAAATGAAGTTATGTCACTTGGCTTTACAGTGCCTCCCCCAAGAACCCCGTACTAACAAAAACACCACTACCAGGCATGAAAAATCTCCATTTAAGATGTTTAGGATAGTCTATGTAATTCCCCAAGTAATTTAGGGTATTACTCTTTCCTTTGGTCATCTCTGAGAGGTTGAAGGCAAGTTGTATTTGCTGAACCATTGCACACTTTGGTTGCAGGACTTGGAAGGGTTGAGCTGAATCTAACACTGAAACCACCTTCATTTAGTCTAACTGCCATAGTAATAGATACAGTGCAAGTTGCCAAGTGAGAGAAGCAGTCAATGGCCCTCCCCAACTGTGACTTCTGCTGTGGTTTGAGTGAGAATGGACCCCATAGGCTCTTGTATTTTAATGCTTGGTTACCAGATGGTGGAACTAGTGGGAAGGATTAGAAGATGTGGCCTAGTTGGAAAGGGTTAGTCACTGGGGTAGCTTTGAGGTTTTAGTGCTCACCATGTTCCAAGTTAGCTCTTTCTGCCTCCAACTTCCATATTATAATGTAAAGTCTTAGCTACTGCTCAGAGTTATGCTTGCCTTCCGACTGCCACTGGTAAAAAGCTAAAGGAGCTTAGGACTCCTCCTAAATACCCAATATTTCATGGATTGTAATCTAAATTGGCCTTAACAGCAGCAGCTATAATAATAGCTATAAATAACAATAGTTTTTATAATAATAATAATAATAATGATGATTACTTTTGGCCACCCCCAATGATTTTATACCCCAGCAGGAAATTATAACCAAAGATGAAAATAATTGGCATAAGACAAAACAAAGCTAACCTAGGCTTTGAAAGAGACAAATGATAATCTGGACCTTATATAGGCCTTCCCATTAGGTCCTGTATAAGATGTACTGACATAGTGTATAGGACAATCACAGCCACCCCAAGTATAATGCCAAAATATCCTCTATATAAAACCTGTTAGATAAGTTTATCTAAATCTATCAGTAGTTGCATCCTTATTTCGTGCTCTAGTTTTCTTCCTCACCTATCTTTTAA